TGGGCTCCTGATGGCTCAGGGTGGGGGGCATACAGGGAGACGGAGACCCAAAAGCCCAGGTGAGAAGGAGAAGAGAGGAGCAAAAGAAAAATCAGGGGAAAAAACAAAAGTGTAGCAAAACTGAAAATGCTTAGAGCATAAAGAAGAGGGAGCAAAACACCCCAGAGAAAAGCAAAGAGGTAGCAGCCAGTTGTACAGGGACAGGGACTCCTGCCCTTTGAGGCCCCCAGCCCTCCTCCCACCCGCCCGGCAGCTTAGCCACGGCCGCCCCACGCTCACCCTCAGAGGCCGGCTGGGTCCTGGGCCCAAGGACTCCTGAGGCTCCCGCCAGGTGGGCTCTGTGTGTGCAAGAGTGGGCCTGCCCCTGCACACCTGGGCAGGCAGTCCTGTTCCCTGAGAGGTGCGTGGGCCCAGCTAAGCCCTGCACACTTGTGATCTGTATCTCTTGCGTGTTTTCAAATCAGTGCTCTGAGTGTGTGTGTTTCTGAATATAACTGTGAATCCTCCTCCTCGGAAGAGTGAGTTAGTCTGTGTGTGTCCAGCTCTGGTCTCTCCTGCTTCCTGCTCTCTGCTTCCCCACCCCCTGTAGCCCCAGCCAACATATACACTTCCTGAAAACACAGAAAGAGAGAAAAGTAACCCAGAATCCCCTGGGGCAGATACTTCCTCCCCGCCCCTGGGCTACACCCCACCCTACCCCCAAGCTAAAACGGGACCCAAATGCTGCAATATCTGCATCTGCTGGTGTCCTGGTCTCGTGAGGTCTCACAGGGTGGAGGCAGAGGAAGCATTGTCCCTGGCGGCCCTTGCAGTGGCTCCTCCCTCTTCCACCCCCACAAGGAGGCCCAGAGAGGCTGGGAAAGAAGCTCTTTGAAGCAAGCAGGTTCTGCCCCAGTAACTAGTGATCAGCCTTCATGAAGACCAGGGATTGGCTGGGCTGCAAAAGGCAGTCAAGGCTCAGGACTGACCCTAAGGTGTGACTCCAGCTAGTAGCTGCCTCTTGGAGGAAGCCATCGCCTTTTTTGAGGTATCTCCAAGTATCTAAGTATCAGAGGAGGACAGTGAGGCTCAGAGCAAATCAGGAGGGGCTCTGTGAAGTGACACTGGAACTCTGGATCAGAAATGATTTCTCTGCTGCTCAAACGGGCAAGTTCAGAGGGTTCCCATCTAGGACACTTCGGGCTGAGGAGACTAGATGAGGTCTGAATACCCGCCTCTTCTTGGCTGGGCTGGTTAACTTTGGGCAGGTTACTCAGCATCTCTGGACTCCTCAGCAAGTTCTCTTATCATGGAGCTAAATAACAGTAAGTATATAGACTCCGGGGGTAAAATGGGATCCTCCCAAGCCAGGCATAAGGGTGAACATAGCTGAGAGTCGGGATCTTGCCAGGCCAGGAAGGAGGATACCCTGTCCTTGCTGGTTTGCTGATTTGCTTGTACCCTGCTTTGTAGGATCCTGTCCCCACCTCATTCTTCCTTCTGGGGACTCTCCGATCCCAAGGCATATGGGTGACATGGGTTGGGTAGAGGAGGAAGAGGGATTTGGGGTGGTGAGCTCAGGACCCTTTAACCCTACAGCTCAGTGTGTGCTGAGGGCCTCCCTGGGTGCTGAGTCACACACACATATGCTTCCATGCACACAGGCGCAGCACTTGGCAGTACAAAAGCTCATAGCTGTCACACAACAAATACTGAGGATCTGTCAGGCAGCCAGCACTGATGCAAAGGTTGGGGATTCAACAACAAACAAAACTGACAGCCCTCACAGGGTTGAGCAACCCTCCAGTGAGCTCACCTCTCTTGGCAGCAAACATATACATGCACACACATGCTCACAGCTGACCGCATGCAACACATATAATGGCATATACTCATACATGCACACATGTGCAGCAGTACACACAAGTACACATACATGTGCACATAAGCCCGGATGAACTCATGTGCATGCTTCATGCCACCATTAAAACTGCATGGATCTCCACATACCTATACCTATATGATTATGCGCAGTGACCCTTAGAACCTGCATCAATGCTAACATACAGACCTGACAGCTTACACAAACACACATATGTACACCTATACCCATGAATGAATACATATAAACTGGCCCAGCCATGCCCTCACACAGACCCAAGACCCTCACAGTGTACATATGCAAACATAAAGGTCCCCAAATCCCACTGGGGACCCTAGTGACAGGCTCAGTCACAACATGATCACATAGGAAAGACCCCAAAATTGAGAGTTCCCATCATTCATGGATGCAAGGAGGGGCAGGAGTAGTCCATGCATCAAGGATCTAGGAGTCACAGGAAAGGGCTGGAAGGGAACAGGATGGCCAAGGAGGCTCCATCTTGGCCCCTACCCCGATCACCACAGGGCCAGGGCTCAACAGGTTACAAATTTGTGATACTCTATCTGCAGTAAGGGGTTTGTTTTGCTGTACCCTGGAAGCGCTGAGCTATGTCCTCAGCCCTTTCTATTTTTTATTTTGAGACAGGGTCACACTGAGTTGTGCAGGTGGGCCTGGAACCTGCAATCTGCCTCCCTCAATCTCTCTAGTAGCTAAGATTACAGGTGTGTGCTAGAGAGCCTAGCTCACATTAGTTTTTATTATAGGATTTCACAGACTGTGAACCGAGGAATGCCAATGCCCATGATTCCAACTGCTAAGACCAGGGCATCAGCAACCAGGTTTGGCAGCTCACTCCCCACCAACTCTGCCATCGGGAAATATCCTTACTTGTAGGAAACATAGCTGGTTCTCTGTATTCATGGGTTCCACACCTGCAGATTCCATAAACCACAGATGGAAAATATATGGGGAAAAACTGCAACTATATTGAACGAGCACAGACTTTTTTCCTTGTTCTTATTCCCTAAACAATGTAGTATAATAGTTATTTCCACTCTATTAGGTGATATAAGTAATCTAGAGTATGAAGGAGGATGTGAGTAGGCTCTATGCAAATACATTTTGTGATCAGACCCTGGAACCAATACACCCCTTGGATATAAGGGGATATAAGTGACGCTGTGATTTCCTACAAATTCTCTCAGTACAAAATGTGTTTGGATCCTTTCTCCCTTCAAAGATCCCAACTTCTGACCTCAAGGGCTGGCCTTCCCTAGAGGTTGGCCAAGTGGTGGTGGCATCCAGACTGAGGCTCTGAGTGGGCCCTAGGGTCCCAGGACCCACTCAGAGCCTCAGTCTGGATGCCACCACCACTACCCTACCCTATTAAGTATCTTGAACAAGTGGCAGTGCCAGGGGGATTACAGAGCACGGCAGAAGGCCATGGAAGGCACGTGGTAGAGAAACAGGCCCAGAAGGCAGGAAGGAGGAAACCCTATTCTTGCCTGCTTATAGCTTGGTCTGTGGCATAGGATCCTGCCCTAGCCTCATCCTTCCCACCATCCTCCTCTGAAGGCCTCTCCCTTCTCAAGACATCTAGGTGACATATGCTGGGTAGAGGGACCGAGAGGAAAAATGTGAGGTGTTGAATTATACTAGCTAACTCTCTCTCCCTCTCTATTGTTCAGTAATTCGAATGAAGTAAATAGAAATTACTTCTGCATTACCCCTGCATGCAAGAGATTGGCCACTAGAGGGCACAATGGCACCAGGAAACTTCAATCTAGGGCGTGGGAGAGGCTCCTGGGGGGTCTTAGTGCCTACCTGCTCCAACTCAGCTGAACCAGGAAAGGCACAGACACTTTTTGCGCTTCCACCAATCAGCTCCCCAACACTGCAGTCCTAATTTAGCCTTCAAGACCCCTTAACTTAGTGCCCCTCCTTATGTGAGGGGAACCTCCCCAGTCTCCCCCACTATGGGGCTAGAATAAGCAGCTGGCGTGAGTACAGCCAGGGTGCCCCTCCCTGCCCCGAACACTTTATTTCCCTGGTTGGAACCAGTGCATGAATCCTCCAAAAAGAGTTTTCTGAGTTCAGCAAAGTTATGTAAATAAAATGCCCCATACATGGCGCAGCAATAACAGGGACTGGGTTCTTCCATGACCCTTCATATTCCTTCCCCTTCCAAGAAGCCTTCCCAGATTAGCCTGACTTGGCCCAATAAATCCCCACATCCCCCAGAACATCCAGCCCTCTGGGGATGCTTCCTCCAGCTGCGCACCCGAGCAAAGCACAGGAAAGAGGATTTTTATGAAGGAGATGAAAGGGAACATCCCCAGAAGGAAGAGGAGACCCAGGAAAACAAGGGAGGCCAGAACCCAGGGAAAAAATGCAGCCCTGAAGAGGAGTGAGGGTGAGGAAGGCGAGGCTCCGAGGTATCACCAAGTGACACTTGTCAGGGATGCGGTAGGTGGGGTGAAAGGCACAGAGGCATAGCTTCTGCTCCCCCACCCACCTCTGCAAAGAGCCTTCCTTGTACTCCAGATGTTACTTCTGGGTACCAGAATGTGCCCAGATGCCCCACAGCATCTCACACTCACTGGGTCCCTCTCCCAGACTCACTTCCTTCCCTGGGTCCTGCATCAGCGTCGTTACCACTGTCTGGCCAACCATCCAACACAGAACCCTGGAGGCCACCAAGGTTCCTCTGCTCAGGTCCAGGAAGTCCCAGGTGCTGGCTACTGTAGGACCCACATCTGGCTCCAGTCATCCCACTTGCTACCAGGCACTCAACACAGCCTGGCCTGGGTGGAACCTCCCCCTGTGCCTGCTCACTTGTCTCCCAGTCTCCTCCCCAGCAACCCCCTAGCAGCTCGTCATCCTCTTCCAGAAACCTAGCTGGCTCCCCAGCCTGGACTTCAGGGCAAGTCCCCCTGGCATGCCCCGTCCTCACCCCATGTGCCACCAACCCAGCTGTGCTACTGAGGATACATGGCTGCCTCCCCGCCCTGCTCTTTGCACAAGCTGTTCCCGCCACCTCAAGCACCTTTCCTACTCTCATGCAAAGGCCACAAACTGCCCATCTACTCTCCGGGATGCTCTACCTGTGTTCTGCCCACTGTGGGTGGCATCCACTCACCTCACCAGCAGGCGCGGGGGTCCGGAGCGAGGAGGCACAGGCGGAACACTCGGCTCCATTAAATGTCGCTTGGCGGGCAGTGGGGGCAACGCAGGATCTGGAGCAGCAGTGGATGTGTCGGTCACAGATGGGGTGGCCATGGACGGGACACCCGTGGAAGGGGTGGTGAAGCAGGTGGGCGGGAGGCAGCTCCTGCGGGGTGGGATGGGCGGGGCCGTGGGCTGTCCCTCATCCTCTCCAGCTGTGGGCTGCAACTCCAGTGAAATGGCGGGTGCAGGTGCTGAGCGGAAGACATGGCGTTTCTTGGGTACAGGCCGTGGAGCGGGGCGGGGTGCAGGGATGGGCGGAGCAGTGTGGGCACGCAGCAGGCCAGCCAGGATGCGACGGCGGTGGCCAGGGAGTAGCATGCCCATGTGCACCAAGCGGGCATCGCTGAGGCCTTGGCAGTCAGTGGCCAACATCATTCCATGCTGCTCGAAGAGGCCAGTGTACTGCTCCAGGTGCAGCGCCTGCAGCCACTCAGCCACCGACAGCGCAGCGTCCCCGCCCTCTGCCATGGTGCCCACCACCAGAGGCCCAGCCGGCAGGGTTCAGTCAGACCTGCAACAGACGGGCACAGGTCAGAGACAAAGGCAGCCCGGGAGCAGTTTCCTGATCACCATCCCTCTGCAGCTCTTCCATTTAGTGCAATTGTAATTCCGAAAAGATAATCCCAAATGTCATATCCGCAAATGTCAAAATCTCTCAAGTCCCCACAATTCCAACCCTGAAAGAGTAAAGCTTGAATACTGAACTCATGAAAGCCAAAACCTCAAAACTCCCCTCATGCCACGGGTTCCAGTTCAACCCTTGAGGACCAGAGATACAGCTCAGCGTCACAGTGCCAGCCTAAAAAGTGCAACATCATGAGTTAGGTTCTTGGTGCAAAAAAAAAAAAAAAAAAAAATTCTATAACAATTTTCAGGACCTTGAGGTTCTTCCTCGGTGGTCTCGCAGCATCCAAATCATGTCTCTTTAGAACTACCCCCACCATCTCCAGGGTCACATAGCCAATGCAATGGCATGACTGGTCCTGTGTCGGCCCCTTCTTATCACTCACTGCCCTCCACAAGGCCTCGCCCATGGTCAACAACTTCTACGTTGCCATCCCCCGCTGAGGGTCCGGCCCAGGGGCTCGGCGAGCATACGTGAGACTGAAGGGCACCAATGCAAAGCAGGCTTTGCCTTACCCACACCCCTGCTGCAGGAAGCAAACTGCCAGGAGAGGTGAGCACAGATCACACAGCCTCTGGGATCTGGCCCTCTGTGTGAGGGGAGGAAAAGGCATTCATTCATTGAAACTAGCCCAGCATGCACTGGACAGTGGGGACTTAGTTTCCCTCCCTGTACTGGAGCACTCCTGGCTCCCTAGTAGGAGTACAGAGATGACGAAGAGATTAACTGAGGGTACAGAAAATTCAACCAATCTCCAGATATTCGAGAGCCAATGATAAAACCCAGTATCCAACTTACTTAAAGACCTAACTAAAATAGAAGTAGACAGACACTTCCTTAAACAGAAAACCAATCTTTCTTAATGGAAAAACAACAGAAAATTCCATTAAAGTTAAGAATGAGACAGTGATGTCCATTTCATTACCATCGAAATCATTATTGAAGTTGCTCCAAAAGTTCTAGGCAAATAAAAAAACATAGCAAATTAGGAAGGAAAAGGTAAACCACCCATTAGTTGATCATAATGAGTTTTAAGTTGGAAGGTCCAAGCAGATCAACTGAGAAGTTACTCAAACAACAGAAAAATTTAATAAAGCTGAGTTCAAATGTAATATTCGAAGCCAAGCATGGTGAGCCCTGTCTGTAATCCCAGCCACTTGGGAGGCTGAGGCAGGAGGGTCACATGTTTATGGACTATCTAAGCAAGTTAACATTATCTGGTCTCAAAAGATAATTTTAAATAGGGCAAAGGACGGAGCTCAGCGGCTGAAGTACCTGCCAAGCACGTGCAAGGCTTTGGGTTCAATACCCAATACAATGATCAAAAAAATTAGTATAACAGAAATCAGTATTTCTAGCCAGGTACAGTAGTGTATGCTCTTAATCCAGGCACTTGGGAGGCTGGGGCGGGACTGCTGAGAATTTGAGGCCATCCTGGGCTACATAATGAGTTCAAAGCCAGCCTGAATTACATAGCAAAACGGTGTTTCAAAAAACTTTTTTAATTAAAATTTTAAAAATCAGCATTTCTAAGCAGTAACAAGGTAGAAACCAGGATGAAAGGTCACATTTATGATAGCATCACAAAACACCATGAGAAATACATAAGATCTCAAACCAGGCACACAATGGCACGTGCCTGGAATCCCAGCCCTTGGGAGGATGAGGCAGGAGAATCGTGCATTTGAAACCAAACTATACTACAGAATGAGCCCCTAAAAGCAAAGCAAAACAAAACAAAATTTTAAAATGCAAGATCTTGGTAGGAGTTAAATAAATTTCCCACCAGGGAGAGATGGAAGGAGAAAGGAAGGGAAGAGGAAAAGAACGATAAATACAAGATCTACATAAGACAAACCTTGGTGTGTTGCTGAGGAACAAAAAAAAAAAAAAAAAAAAACCTGGACAAGCCAGGCCAGGCGTGGTAGCACATGCCTGTAATCCCAACACTTGGGAGGCTGAGGCAGGAGGAACTGGGTTAAATAGTAAATTTTCCTGAATTACATAGCAAGACCCTGTCTCAAAAAACTCAAAAACCTGGATAAATAGGAAGACACAGTAAATCCTAAAAGCTGACATCAATAAGAAGTTTTCATTTTAAGCTATTTTTGTACATATACATACTCCTACTCAAAATACATACAGAATGTTTTTTAAGCTCCACAAGCTTGAAACTTCACATGGCAAAGTAAACAAGCAGAAGCCGAGCGTGGCAGTGCAGGCTGTGATCCCAGCACTCTGAGATCCTGAGGCAGGAGGATCAAAGTTTAAGTCGAGCCTGGGGAATTCAGCAATTTATCCATGCTCTATCTCAAAATTAAAAAATAAATAAATAAAAAGGTCTGGAATGTAGCTCAGTGTGAAGATCCTGAGTTTGACCATCAGTACCAAAATTAATCAAAAAGGAACAGGCAGAAAACTCTGGGAGACAGAAGGTAGATAAGGAATAGAAATTAGCCTCACCACATATTAAAATATCACAGGGCCACAAAAATTCATGGTAGTATATGGTAGTAGCATGTGAGCACACACATCAATTAGACAAAGACCAAATGGAGACTCAAGTGCTTTAAAAATTTAGTACATAACGGAAGGAGCATCTCAAACTTGGGGGCAGGAGAACGGATTATGAAATTGTTGCAAAAGCTTTGGAGCCAACTAGCAAAAACTAAGGCAGATCCCTACCTCACACCTCATACGATAAATTATAGATGGATCAAAGATTTCAGTATTTTTTTTAAAAATGAGAGGATTCAAACATCATCCGAGAAACAAAAGCCTTTTGGAATGATATAAACCTAGAAGGTACACAGAAAAAAACAAGATATCCAACTGCTGCCATACCTCACATAATGATGCTTCCATCAGTGATGGACCACAGACAGAGGAATGGCCCCAAGAAAGTATAACAGAGCCAAGAAGTCCCACTGCAGTGACAACTGTCAGCCATCCCAACATCACAGTGCAACGTACTCCTCATGTATCTGTGACAACACCAGTGTGGACCAACCTACCGTATATTAAAGGATGGTCCATATCGTTACGTATGGTACACAATACTTGATAGTGATAATAAATGATCATGATGCTGGTTTGTGTATTTACTACATTTTACTTTTTTAAGAAAATTTTTTAGCCTAGAGTGTCCTCCCACATACTAAAGTACAAAGTTTACCATAACACAGAACTCTCGGGCACGTCGGGAGCAGCTCGTATGTTTGTTTAGTACATCCCTCACTTGCAACAAGAAGCCCTGTGAAGCTGAGTCTGGTGGGGCACACCTGTAACGCGGCATTCGGGAGGCTGAGCCAGGAGCATTACAAGTTCAGTGCCAGCCTGCGCTACCAGGGAAGCCCTGTCTAAAAGAAGGAAAAAAGTCCCATAAGGAGGGTCTGACCTACACTGTCTGAGATTGTAAAACTACTCTCTGTGATGTTCACAAAGTCGCCAAAAGATGTATTTCCATTGTTACTGCATAAAAGGGGTGATCAAGCATTATAGTGAGTGTCAAAAAATTTATTACAGTAAAGGACACACTGCCAAGAACAATGGTGTGTTCAAACAAGTGGGAGTGTTCTGAGGAAGAAGAACAGCAACGTTGGGCCAGGGATTTAGCTCAGTGGCACAAGTGCCCGCCTCTAAGCACAAGGTCCTGAGTTTGATCCCCAGTATCAAAATAACAATAATAATAATAATAATACCAATGTATCTTTTATTATAATAAATTATTTTAATTTAAAGCTTCTCTGTAGTTTTGATCACTCCTCACTGATTAACCATTATGGTAATTTCCGTCAAATAAAAATACGATGGTGCCCTCGTCCACCTTAGGCATCAGATCTGGCACCATGAGATTTGGGGCTCTTCCTCAAAGTCAAAATGATCATGAGCAGTAAATGTTTTGAAATGAGTCAGGACTTGCAGGCAGCCAGGGCAGCACAACTGAAGACACGAAAGAGGACTTCCAGAAGTGGTGCACATGACAGGTAAGAGTGTTCAAAGTGTGTGTGTGGGGGGGGTATTTCAGGGGAGATATGGCAATGTGCCTTTTGCAATAGTAAGTCGTTTTGTTTTGTTTTCATTTAAACAGTAACCAAAGCATCTCTGCATGGTGGAAACCACCACTGGCCATGCCAGAGATAAGGGAGAACCTAGGGATAGCTCATATCTCACTCAATTCCTACGAGCCAAAAAGCACCTCAGAAATAAGAATAAATAACCTGGCAGGAAAACAAGCAAAAAAAAATATGAACAGAGAAATGCATGGAAAGGAAAATGTAAATGACCTTTAAGCAAATGACAAAAAAGTATAAAGGGAAAATATTATTTTTTACCTATCAGCCTGTCAAAGAGCAGAAAGTCTGAGAATACACAGAAAAGTAGGAAGGTAAAAGTTGGGCGCAGTGATATGCCCATAATTCCAACTATGCGAGAGGCTGAGGCAGGAGGATCAAACACTCAAAGCTTGCCTAGGCAACTTAGTGAGATCCTATCTCAAAATAAAAGGTGATGCAGCTCAGGAGCAGAATGCCTGAAAGGTAGAGAATAGTGTTACGTAAGCATCTGGGTTAAACAAAAACAAAAAATAAGCCAGACATGGTGGCACATACCCATAATCCCAGTACTTTGGGAGGCCTAAATTTGATGCCAGTCCAAGCAACTTGGCAACCTAGCGACACTCGGTTTCAAATAAAGAAATCAAAAGGACTGGGGATGTAGCTCAGTGCAGGACCCATGGGTTCAATTCCCAATACTGGAAACAAAAGAAGGAAGGGAAGGAGGAAGGGAGAGGAAAGTCGGGAGGGAAGAAGAGAGAGGAAGGGACAGAGAGACACAGAAGGGGAGAGAGAGAGAATGGGGAAGAAGAAATAGTGTACACACAGTCATATAAAAATATACACAGAACGCTCTGGACAGATATAGAGGATGTTACCTTTGGGGTGGACATTTGGCAGTTGGCAAGACAACCAACAGACACACTATACCCTTCTATGTCTTTTAATTTTGAAATTTTTTTCCAAAATACAACTAAATAAATAAAACTTACAAAAGAAGGTCATAGGAAGAGCCTGGAAATGAGAGAGACCGAAATTCACCAGGCGAGAAGGGGACTAATACCCCAAATCCAGCCTGCCCTGTCCCTTCTTCCCTCAGAGCCCTGGCGGGGCAGAACCTCACCCTCTACCCGCAGCCTGGATTCTCAAAGGTGAACATGGGTCTTCAGGTCTCCGCCCGCCAGCCTGAGGAGCCTCCCACCTCGCTTTGAGGCTCAGCCTGCAATGTGCCCTGCTCCCCACTCACCGGCTGGGCTGCTCAGGGCACTGCTCCTCCCTCCTGGAGGCTGCAGCTACTCTGAAGGATTCCTCTTCATGGCTGGGGCCAAAGCTGCAGGTCAGAAATGAAGAGAAAGTCCGTAAGAGAAGGCCACTTTGAGCAGCCAGGAGGCCAGGAGGAAACGACAGAAAGGAAGGGGACAAGGACAAGGATTAGTAAAAGAAAAGAAAAGGGAAGAAAGCAGAGAGGGGGAAGAGGTGGAGGAAGCAGAAGAGGAGGAAGACAGAAGGGCCCAGGGACTCTGCAGTGGAGTTAGAGGAGCCAGGGGCCAGGACGGGGAGGGGCTGGGATTCCAATGGGGCAGGCTGAGGCAGGAATGCCCCAGCAGGAGGTGGGGGCACAGAGCAGCTCCTCGCCTGGGGTGGGCTCCCCAACACAGAGATGGTCAGGAGAGGTGGGGAATGGCGAGGGGCACAGGACCCTCCCTAGAAAGCCTGAAGACCATGGCATGGGCTACAAGCAGAGGATGAGAGCCCAGAGGCCCTGTCCCTGAACCTGTAAGAGACACAGAGGAACACAGACCAAAAAACAGGGTTTCCAGGGGAGGAGAAAGAACAGGCCAACCCTCAGGGCAGGCTACTCCTGGGACCACCCAAGCTCTGGAGGCTGGGGACAGCGAGGATGCAGTGGTACAGAGGAGTCTTCCTCCCCCATGTTGGGAGCCAAGGCAAATTCACCCCAGGCAAGGTTAACCCAAAAACTGCTGTGTAAAATGGCTTTAGCAGGCCTTTTTGTAAAGGTCATTTTACAGTTCACTTAAGTCACTTCCACCATTATTGTTGTTTAGGGTAGGGTTAAAACAGGTTTATGTTTTTACAGTATTTAAAAAAATTTTTTTTAAGTAACTTGTACTTTGGATGAAAGTGTTAGCAAAAATGGCCACACAACTCAAGTGACCTTGTTCTTATCTTTTTTTCTTGGTACTAGGGATCAAACTCATGACCTCATACTTGCCAGGTAGGTGCGTAAGCCACTGAGCCACTCCCAGGCCCCTCAAATGACATTTTAAAAAGTAGTGACAATAGTGTTTATTATACCAGGTATCTAAGCACATTAACTCTTTTAGCCTTTCCAGTGTTTAAGGTGCGTTGTTTTTAAGATGATGAAACTTGCCCAAAGTCACATTGCTAGGTAGGAGCAGTCTGAGTGTAATCTAAACCCACTCTGCTCAAGACGGTGAACAGTCATAGTTACACATGACTTCTGAACACCTGAAACAGGACTCCGGAAACGAAGAGCATGGCTTTTAAACACATTGGACTGTATAAAAACTTGGCACCAAAAGAAATTTTTTTCTACTGCTTACTTGTATTATGAATAATATTGTGGATATTTAGATTTAAAATAATATTAACACTAATTGCACCTGTTTCTTTTCCCTTTTTCTGGGCAGGGGTGAGGGTTGGAATGCAGGACCTTCATCACACGTACTAGGCAAGTGCTCTACCACCGAGCTCTGCTCCAGCCCCTGCACCTGTTTCCACTTTCTTTCTCTCTTTCTTTTTTCAGGGGTGGGGGATGGTTTACGAGACAGTATGTAGTTCAGTCTGGCCTGGAACTCACAGGCATCCTCCTGCCTCAGCTTCCCAAGTTCTGGGATTATCAGTTTCCCAAATTCTGGCTTACAGGCATGCCCTGCCACACACGGCTGCACCTGTGCTTTTAATGTGCTTACTAGCAAACTTACACTGTGCTTGTGGCTTGCACCATACTTCCGGTGGGCAGCACAGCTCTCAACTCCTAACTACTCTGCTTGCTCCCTCTCCAAAGGGACAGCAAACACAAAGAAGCACCTGTCACAGGCTGGGTGCTGGGGTTAGGTGTAACACAAGTGATGTGATCATGGTCCCACCACCCTGCCAGAATGGCCACGGGTGGGAAACAGGAAGCCACTCCTCTCCCTGAGAAGAGCAGGGCCCCTGTAGGCCATTCTCAAGTTCCTATTCCTGCACTCAAGGGGCACCCGCCAAGGACAGAGACATGGGGACTCACACTGACACCTGCTGCAATAGCGCTGCTCAGGGAGCTGGAGGCATGAACAGATGTCTCCAGGTACCTCGGGCTGAGGGGATCAGACACCATTAGCCCATGAGAACAGCCCAGGGGACCTCAGGGCTTAAGGGTGGCTTCCTGGAGAAGGCAGCTCCTTGACAAAAGTCTGGGGCAATGAATGCCTTACAGAGGCCAAAAACAAAAAGGCAGTTTGGTTCTCTCCTCATTGAAACTTTTGATACTTTCTATTTTGTTCATTATGAATATTTTGCATTAATTTTGATTTTTCAAAACGGCATTAAAACATTATACCCTTTGATGACTGAATTTATCGTGCCCCCTTGTCTGCACCCAGGAGCCCCACTTGCTCCACCCTCATCCTGGTCCTGATTTGAAGGCTGCTATCGGGCCAGAGTCCTCACCCCAAAGGAAGCAGGGGCCCGGTGGAGGAGGGTGTCATCCTGTTGCAGTAGCCGAGCCACAGTTGGGAGTTCTCCCACGCCCCAGAACCCAGGTGCTTTGCACACTGCATCCACCACCCTGCTTCTCCCAAGATCCCACCTCTGCTCAGAGCCCTGTGGGGCCCCTACCTGAGGGTCCTCAGCTGTCATTTAACCTAGTCCAGCTCTGACGCTAATACTAACGGGTGAAGAAACAAACACCCACAGGGAGGAAGTGACTTGCCCAAATTCTCAGGAACATACCCCAAGTCCCAGCCAGGCTGGGACACAATTCCCTCCATGTCACTTCCTACATTAGTATCTGGGGGAGCCCCCCAAACTGTCAGCTGACAGTGAGTAAGTAAACCACCCCAGCCCACTTCAGGCACCTGCTCCAAGGGGGCCTCCTGCAGAAAGTCCCCTGCAATTCAGCCCTGCAGCTCAGCAGAGCTTCTGTTCCTCTGCTACTCAGTTTAAGGGGCTTCACCTCCACCCTATCCCCAACATCACTTGGGAGTTTTGAGGGTCTGTGTGTCTTGTCCCCCACCCTCTGCAGTGCAGCCCAGGGCCTTAAGTGACTCTGTATGCCCAGTCCTGCAGATTTCCACCTTCGTCTCACTCAACTATCCCAGGGCCTGGTATTTTTACCTTTCATGTGTGTGAAACGTACCAGATCCACCTGCAGGGGCATCAGGACATGTTGCCTTTGTCAGGCAAAAGTTTGTGCCAGAAGTCAGGGACTTTTCTAGAGAGCTCTGGACCTAGGCCCCAAAAAACCACAAGAGGCTGCCAAGTGCACATAGGAAGGGCTAAACTTTTGAACCCCAGGGCATGATAGGACTGCTCATCTGGAATTGGGAGAAATCAGTGAGGTAGGAACAAAGAGTACCCAAAGAGGGTGGGTCACCTCCACCAATCACCTGCAGAGGCGGCAGACCCATGTGGGTGTGTCCCTCGCTGTGGCCTCCCAAGTCTCTTTTGCACTCTGACTGATCTGAGAGACTTGACCCACAGCAGTTTTAGGGTTCCTACTGTTTCCACACCCAGCTCTGGAGTTCTCTTGGCCAGGACACCTCCCCAACTCACACCCCCAGTGCTCCCTCTGCATGCAGGGGAGAGGAGGGAGGTGGCCAACGGTCTTCAATTTGTCCTCCTCCTCGCCTGTGCAGCCCACCCACTATCTGAATCCTAGTTTTCCACCATAGGCAGGCTGGGCAGGGACCCCAGTGTCCAGACCCCTAGACACCTCTCAAAGAGGTCTCTACACAGAACCAACAACATACACAGCCACCTGGGTCTACAAACCACACCCCACACATACCACAATGGCACACCCCACACTACCTCAAAGGTCACCCACCTCCCACACACAGCCTCCTCCCACCCACTCACCGCCACACACACACACACACACACACACACACACACACACAACCTTCAGGCCTCATGTCCCTGCCAATACCCCAACTGCCCCAGAACTCTGACATGCCCCACACCCTCCACCACTCGTGATACCTACGAGCAGGGCCATCCTCGCAAGCATCCGCTGCCTTCCTGGCGTTCGCAGGACTCCACTAGCCCAGGCTAACTAGCGCAGGCCCGAAGCCTTGGAGACACTTCCTGTAGTAGGTATGAGGAACTAGGCAGGGGTGGGGCTCCACAGCCAGAGGGTGCAGAAGTGACTCTCCCTACCCCTGCGAGGCCAGCTCCCTGAAGTCTAGCTTCTGTCTCCTGCTACCTACAAGTCCCAAAAAGGCACACGGTGGTCTCCTGTCCTTCTCCTACTCTGTGTCCTGCCCTGTACATTTTCCCTGGCTCTGGGAGGGCCCTGCCTGCCTATCTGTGCTGTGGCCTGTCTTTCCAGGGGCCTGGTGTGCTGCAGGGTGAAGAGAGTACCCTGGGCCTGAGCAAATGGGTAGATGCCTTGCCACCTAGTGGGAAGCTAGGGGCCTGTCCTGTCCCCACCTGTCCCCACCCAGGATGGGAGGCCAGTCTAGGTCCCAGACTCGGCTCTGTCCCTTCTTGTCTGAAGCCCTCAGTGAGTCACCTCACATCCTCCACATTGTGAAGCCTTTCAATCCCTGTCTCACAGGCTGGCACCCAGATGACCATGACGCGTCACCACATGTGCACCAGAGGCCAGACTTGCTTAACCTCTGTTCACTCCTCCTCTGCGAAGGCAGGCACTTCCTGCCCCTCATCCCAAGGCCTTGGCCAGTCCTAACCGGGGTGGCCCTTGGTGGAGGGCTTGTAGCACCCAAGGTCCAGGTACCCCAGACCCTAAAGACAACCTTACTATACCCCAGCTATTCTGGACCCTCCTGCAGCACCCCAGGGGCCACACACCCACACTCCCGAAACTTCTACCAGCTCCTGACAAGCAACCTTCTCTGAAAAAAAAAGAGCTGTCCCCAAGTCAGGTGGGACCTGTGAGCAAATCAGAAAAAGATGCCTCTTCCTCCAGGAACTCCACACCAGAGCATGCTGCTTTGCAAGCAGAGAACAGGCCGAGTTTCAGTCCTCGCTCTCTGAGCTCTCACCACGTTCCCCCCCCACCCCAGGTAGGGACCTGGTGAGAAGGTGACACCTCAACAACCGCCTAGCAGTAGCCTCACCAGC